TTTTTTTTTTAATAATTTAAGAAAGATAAACAAGAAATAATGAGAACAACAGTACGTTTAGTTTGTTTCTATTCCATGTTTTTTTTAGTATTTTTTTCTCATTCGTTACTAAATTTCATGAAGCCTACAACTTCCCGCCAACATGACTTGAGTGTCTTGCATGAGACGGCGCACAATGTTTCAGGGGAGGGAAAAAAATCCAAATCATAAATTATATGTAACAAAACTTTTTTAAAATTATTGTTTATATAACTTTTTTCATTCATCATAGCATTTATTTTGAATATCATAGATTTAAATATTCTTTTTTTTTATTAATAAATATTTAAATTCCTTGGTAAGTGTTATATATAATATTTTTTCAGTCAAGTTTAAGCTACTTTTTTCTTCAAATTATAAACCAATTAATCTAAACATAATATATATATATATATATATATATATATATATATATATATATATATATATATATATATATATAAATCTTTAGTTTAATTATAGAATTTAGTAATTTAACATTAGGTATTGATAAATGAATTTTCTTTTGGTGTTGTTTTTGACAATTAATTACTAACTTTTCGAGTTTTTGTTTTAATAATTAAACGTTGACAAACAAAATAAAATAAAGTGAAATATTATGGTTTTAATATTAAGAATCTCGGATTCCTGTTTTTCCTTCTATAGTTGGAGGGAGAAGCCTGGCTTTCGGTTCCCTGCCTGATTATATATATTGTTTATAGGTATGACTGTGTTTTTATCTTTTTAATTTACTTATCTTTAGGTTATTTTATTTTTTTATTGCACATAGTTTTTGATCATTATTTTACTTTTGTTAATTTTATATATTCTGTATATATGGTGTGATTTAGTTCATATATCGCTATAATTATTATCCACCTGACAAATTATTATATTTCTAAATAAATAAATATTAAGAATAATACTATAATATGAATATTAAAAATATTACTTCTACGTTTTAGCTATTTTTCAGCCCATTTAAAGCGTTTATCAAAGTAATACAAATGTTTAAACTTTACAATTTACTAAACCATGCAAAATTTAAAGACGTCAAGTATAAACCAAAATCAAATGAAGATTATTATTTATTATTTTCTTTTTAAAAAGATATTTATAATTTTATAATTTAACTTCTACTTATTTCTACATTGAATATTGTGGAAGAATAATTGTATTAACTATTTTTATTTATCTTTTCAGATGCTAATTAAAAAAACAAAACAGAAATATTATTATAAATACTATTTATTCTTAAAATTATTGTTTCAGTTAATGATAAATTGGTAGGTATCTTGAAAAATTGCACTCATTGTTTAAATATTATAAAAAATATATAATAAGCATTAGTGATATTTGTCATTTGTTAGAGAAAAATAATATGCTTGAAAATGACTAAAACACGTAAATTACAATTTTTAATTGAGCATTTTAATATGCTTCGAAACCATAAATAATATTATTTAAAATTTAACAGTTTTTGTTAGTTAAGGATTTGATTTATAAGTAATTTTGAAATATTTTATTCTTTATATTTAATTTTTTCGATACCAATATTTTTTTTTGTTTTAAAGTAAGCTTGAAATGACTTATAAACAGCCAACACGTGGAAGATAGGTTATTATAGAGGTATAATTTAATGTAGGTATGGTTGATTATAGGTGAAGCATCTGGGGAAATACACGTGCTTTCTGCAATGTCAATTGAAATCAATTAAAACGTTTGTATGTTTCCCACTTTTTCAAACTGAAACTGAAGTGTCAGATTATTTCTTTACCTCAAAAGTGTTTTGCACAGTGTTTTAAATATACAACAAAAAATCTTATTGAGGCATATTTATGTCAGTATGATTTTAATTGTATTTCAGTATGTTCGGGAGTGGCAGGGGGGAAGGGGGCAGAAAGAGGTTTTATGGCGCCTTCTTGCGCCTTCAAAATTTTTGAGGGATACATTTTAGCTGAGTTTTGAATTTTGAGGGGGGCTCATTCTGAGTGAAACGTTTCAAACCAGGGGAAAAGAGGAAAAAATAGAACAGACCACTGAAAGGATAATTGTATATAACCTACGATTTCTAAAATTATACTTTAGCGTGCACTGTCAATAAAAAGAGGAGAGCAATAAAATATATTGGGAGACGTGGAGGGTGAGAGGGGAGTGGGGTAGCTAAGTGGTAGGGCGCAGAGCTTCAATGATCAAGATCTCAGGTTCGATCCAGACTTACGACAAATAAATTATTTATTCTGTTTCATCGGCCGTGGATCGTCCCTGGAGTCAGGACACCCTCTTGGGGGTACACTCAGCCTCTATAAAGTGGGTACCCTTAATTAAATAATTTGACTAAGAAACAGTATTTTCCCTAAATAGTACTGAACCCAAAACCCGTCATTAGTTGTAGTGGTACAGATTTTTTTTTTCTTTATGATCAAACCCACTGACGCACACTATAGAAATGGGCGAGGGGGGCAATGACCTTATAATAAAAATACTGGGGGATCGAAAATATCATTTCGAAACTATGAAACCGTTGTATTTTTATTTTAAGATTGTGTAAACTAAGTAACCCAAAACATTTTTCTCTTTTCAATATTCTTGATTTTTAGCAGAATAAATTCTTAAGATTTTTTTTATTATTATTGAAATTTAGAACTGTATTAAATGATAAATACAAATAGTAAATATGAAATAAGTAACATGAAGAGAATATACCCATTGGTAGCACTCCAATTATATTTCTATATTAGAAGGCCCCGAGGCCTTCCTTTCAGACGTATCGGAGAGTTATCAGGAATAGAGTAGGAAGCAAGATTGAAAAGAGAAGAGAGTTCGAATGGCTCAGAAGTGTACTACAGAAAGATAGATTGAGCTAAATCAGAAACATATGGAACATTAAGGTCTTTATGGATGATTTTATTTGAGACAAAGTAGGGAGTATTGAGGATTTTACGAAGGATTTTGGATTGTAGGGATTGGATAAGAGAGGAATTTGATGGTTTAGTAGAGCCCCAAAGCTCGATCCCGTTAGTCCAAATAGGCCTTATTACAGTAATATATATGAGTCTTTTGTAAATAGTTGGAAGTTTAGAGCGTTTGTACAGTAAGTGCTGAAGTAGTCAAAAATGTCGGGCGGTTTCTGTTCGTTTCAGTTCTTAGTCGTTTCAGTCTGGTATTCTTGAGATTTACGTACAAAATGGATTCACCCATTATATAATCCATTAAGACACAAATTAATATATATATATAATTGTTTTGTTCTATATATATTTCAAGTATTAAGCATGTGCGTAAGACAACCTACAACTATAACAAACATACATAAAACTATTCAGTTTTATTCTATTCGTTTTACAATAATTGTTTTGATTTTATGCATTTATAATTTTTACGTTTTCATATAATATGAACTCCTGACATTTTTTTTTCATTACCAAGAAGCCATTGGTCTAAACAAATTATAATTTGATGGTGCAATATCTGGGCTATACGTAGAATGAGGCACAACGTTTACTGCTGGTGTTTCCGAAAATGTTTCCTATGTCCAACGAGATCGATTTGCCGGGGTAATGTCGTATTGCTAAATGGTTTGGTTCCAGTTGACCATAGCTCGGTAGTTGCCACTCAAAACTGCATGAGATGTGTCTAGCTATTCATAGTATAGGTTTGATTCTACCGACCAACCATTAGGGACAAACTCGAGAGCCAAAATGTTATCGAAGTTCCACCAAAACACAAAGCCTCGATGGAAAACTCTAAACAAAAAGTGTGGTAATATTCCCATGGTAGCTGATTCTCCTATGGCATAAAGTTCTTAAGCGATTGCCTTGGCGCTTAGATTTTCTTTCAGTAATGCCTCAAAAGACGATGAATGACGATTATTCTTCTGATATTGCACCTCAGTTCTAAAAATATAAATGACTCCATAAAGCAAACCAAGAGATTGAAGGATTAGTGAAAATAGACATCGAAATAAACAGTAGGAACAAAACAATATACGATTAATTAGGATAATTAAAATTATGCATTTGGAGTCTGTATAAAAATGAAATGTTATCAAATATACAAAAATATGTAACTTGAAAAATTTCTAAACGATTTAGAATGACCTGTTTCATAAAGGTATTGCCTTATATTAAAAAAAAAAATAAGCATTCGCCTATAAATCTGGATATAAGCCAAAGACATCCAAAATAATTAGTAATTTTCAGTTTTTTTTGGTTATATTTATCTTTTTACTGCTAGGTTCGAATGTAAATTATTCAACTTATCTTTATGTTTCAGAGTCCAGTGAGTCCACAAAACGATTTTTTTATAGAAATATTATCAAATTCTCGACAAAACTAAAAAAAAAAAAGTTTTTCAAATCTGTTTTAGTCCTATGTATAAATTTTATACTGTGATGTAATTTTTTGTTTGCTGGAAAAATGGGTACTTTTAGGTGACATGAAATAAAATCACATATTTTTTTTTTTAACGCAACTTGAGATGAATATCAAGTTTTACCCTAATAAACCTAAATGTAATTAATATGGACTTAAAGCTTATTAAAAGATGAAGTTTTTTTTAAAAGGGGGATCTTATAGTTGGAGGATGACAAAAAAACAAAAAAAATAAATAATTTCTGATATTGTTTTTTAAAAAGCGGATTTAAATTTAGTTTAGCCGCTCAAATTTCTCTTTAAATGGTTTCAACAAGGAAGAATTGAACCTTCATCTGAAATAAATTTTGCCTAGTTTGCAGTGAAATAATTCCTAACTACTTAAATCAAACATTTTTTTAGTTAACATTTCCTATTCGAAACCATAACACAATAAAAAAAAATAATAATATGGTTCTTTCGTGCTGGAAATCGGACCGTTGTTCATAAATATATATATTTTTTTTAGCAGTTGAGATCTGATTTCATTCCTGTACACGTTTCCCTCAGATACACGCTGTGTATTGTTAACCAAAAACATTCCTTTAAATTCATACGTACGTAGGTAACTCACCTCCAAATAATTTTGTCACAGCCTCCTTTACTTCCTATAGTATTCCTGTATCCCACCCAGATTTCCTCTTCATTACTCCAGATACTCCTGTTATCCTTGGCACTAGAGGACACAGATCGGACACTCCTCGACTCCCGGCTGTTCGGCACAGACTGACCGGCCAGACCACTTCCCCGGTATTCCCGGATCATGGAGAGGATTGCTCCAGATAGGCACCTGTCCTTGCTCGAGCGGCCTTCCGCTAGCTGCCGAGACCGGTTCCTCTGACTCCGACAGGTTACTATTTAGACGGCTCTATCTTGAGGAATACAGGGGCCGTTTGGTGGAGAATTTATCGCTTTCGTGATAAGTCAACATGAGTTATGATTTTCCATTAAATTATTGTCTGAGCAGTTAATCATTATGGGATTTGTGAACATAATGCATCATTGACCCCTATAAGGTTAGATTTAAATGTCTTCTGAAAAATTTATGTCCGTCCTATTACTTTTCAAGACCCAAGACCACCTTTTTAATCGAAATTCATCCATATATATTTAGTCACATTTCAGTAATATGTTTTTCAAGGTCACTTGATTACTTATATATGGTATCTTCAAGGATTGAACTGGCTTTGTAATTTTTTAATTTATTTCGGTAATTACAACAAGTCCGGCAACTCGTGCAAGAATTCGACATTATCTCAAACAATTTCGAAAGAATTTATTTGAATATTTATATATAAAAAAACCGTTACCCAAGTAAGGAAGAAGCTGATTCAGAAATACGGTTACTCTTCAACATTCGCGGGTTTGATACGCACGGATCAGTTAATATTAAAATGCGAAAGATTGTCATACTTAAAGATTTCATATTGATTATTTTTAATTTAAAAAAAATACCAATGCATACTGAATCACTACTGATAGTGCAAAAAGTAGTATGTAAAAATGCATTATTTCTTTATCCTTTATTAGTATAATTTCATATTTCATTGTCCTCTGCTATTTTCCATAGACTACTTATATCAGTTGCGGACTGCAAAATGTCACCTTTAGCACAAAAAGAATAAAATTTGATAACTTTTACATACAAGCTTTTGCACTAATAGTAGTGATATATACTTAATAGGTACGTTTTCAGTTCGTAAAATGGATGGAACTAGAAAATCCATAGGAAAAATTCAATTTGTTTGTTCGGAGTTAACGAGACCAATACTATTCTTCAGTCAGAACAAAACTAATTAAGCTTGAACATCAATATTTCACATATAAAAAAAAAATTACTCAACTTCGATATTTAAGGAGGGAATCATGACCAAGGCGAGCTGATTGAACTTCAATGGAAATAAACACTAATCAGACTTTTTTTTTTTTACAAATTCAGAGTAAAAATTACTTTAAATTTACTGAAAATTACACGAATTCTAAGTAAGGCAGCAAGTGTCAAGCAAGTAATGTTAGGAATCGACCAAACAATACAGTATCAATTAATGTTTTGATTAAAACCTAAAATTTTATAATCCCATAATAATATTGTAATAAACTAACTCACACTGCATTTGTTCAGTGCCTTCAACAATTAACAACAATTATATTGATAACAATTATTTATATAAATTTTAATTATTTAATGGAATTCAATGAAATTGATACCAAGTAATTTCTATACTGTTCTCCAAATAATATTAGGCCAGTAACTTGAGGCTCGAAATGGAAAATTCATTACAAAGAATGTGTGATTTTTAAAAATATTTTTTAACTTATATTCATTTAACTTATATTAAATCAGTTCTTACTGGTCAAACATTAGAGAGTGTTTCTAGACAAAACTTCCAACAAGAACATTCATTTGATGCACTGGCCGATCCCAAACGGAAAAGAACTGAGACCAATTTCATGTGGTCATGTTTTTTCTTGGATTAGAGGAAATTGCTCAAAAACTATTAACGATAGTTAAATTCTAAGTACACCATCGTAAAGTACATAATTTTATTTTTAGAAAACAGTTATTGAATGTTTTTTTTTGGTATTTACAACTGTATTAGTATAAATAAATCAAGTAAATGTGAGGAATATAATCACCTGAAAACGCTTGTTGATAAACTACCCATTGGTAGTACTCTAATATTAAATTTGCTAAATTTAAGGCCGATATGATAAAAGGGATTTTCAGGAGGTATAAAACTGCAGCTGTACTATTGCAGTTATTGTACATATACGGGAGTAGCATATCTCTTTACAGCTGCCGTATTAGAACTCCTGAATGTCATTTTTATAATTTACCTTAGTATTTTATCAAAAAAAGATTTATTTACTTTATAATGGTGTACTTTGAATTTTATTATCTTGGACAGTTTTGAGCAATTCCTTCTTATTCAATATAAAACGTGACCGCACAAACTTGTTCTTCGGAATTGTCCCATATCTCGAATGACTTTTTTTGTTAGCAAAAAATGCCAGACTTTTTCGACCTTTTTTTGTTTCGTCCCCTTCAATTCCATAACGATACATGTAGATGAAAAACGTAGTCTTTAAGAAATTCAAGGACCTCCTTATGCGTCAAACGAGTAGCTAAATATAATAATTTGGTTAAGTAGTATGGTCGATGATAACGGTCCACAAACGCTAGTTTTGAACAAATACGTCAATAATTGAGACAAATTATTGGCTCGATTAAGTGTAGCTTGGAAATGAGTTATATAATAGAAAAAACTCATAGAATAAAAGCAAGACACTAGCAAACTCTGCGTTTGATCTGTTAGTAAAAACTGTTAGTACACAGTGGACGTGGATTTTGTTTTTTTTACATGTTTTGTTCGGAATTTGTTTCTTTACTCTATGAGTTTTTCTTTTACATAACCCATTTCGAGTTAATCGGGGGGTGCGGTCAAATAAATACTAAATTAAAATATAGTAATATTTTTTAATTATTGCCGACGTTTCGACCTACTTTGCAGGTCGTCTTCAGAGCTACGAAAGATACAAAACATGGATGATAACATGAACAAACAAAACATGAAAATAAGAAAATTAATATAAGTAGATATAAAATAAGAAGAAGTTGTCAGATACAGAAATAAAAAGATGATATCAGAGATATAGTGGGTGACAATGTAGTTAAAATATCAAGTAGTATATGCGTAGAAGATACAAACAAATGGAAAATAAGTATGGATAAAAATAAAAAATAAAGGAGAATATAGCATATAAGTTAAAAGTAAACAGATTGTGATAAAAGATAAGAAATGAGTATATAACAAACTAACAGAGATTACATTTGATAACTCTGGGTTAACAGATAAAGAAAATGAATGTTAACGAATAAATAGATTGAAAATTGAATAAGTATTGTTATAGTAAAGTCAAAATAAGAATAAGATATCAGTGGATAACAAGCTAGTGGAGGTTACATTTGATTGTAAGTAAACAGATCTCCTTTATTTTTTATTTTTATTCATACTTATTTTCCATTTGTTTGTAACTTCTACACATATAATACTTGATATTTTAACTACATTGTCACCCACTATATCTCTGACATCATCTTTTTATTTCTGTATCTGACAACTTCTTCTTATTTTATTTCTACTTATATTCATTTTTTTATTTTCACCATGTTTTGTATCTTTTGTAGCCCTGAAGACGACCTGCAAAGTGGGTCGAAACGTCACCAATAATTAAATAATTACTATATTTTAATTTATTATTTATTTGACCGCACCCCCCCCCAATTAACTCCTTCTCAAATAAATTAATAAGTTTAGGTACTTGTTCGAAGCAAAATTTAACGGTATTTAATTTCATAAAGCGTGCATTTCATGTTTCGAAGAGCCGTTTACGAGTTATAGGTGAAAAAAACAGGAACAGATCGACACAAATCTGGCTTTTTTAGTGGTATATATTAGATATTTATATTTGGTGCTACAAATATAAACTATAAAAACACAAATATCTAAACGATTGTTTCTCTATGGTTGTATGTTTGTTTTCCATTTTTTGTCGATAAAAGGAAAAGAAAAAACAACGCTAGTATCGCTATTAGTTAAGTGGGACCTATACGGCCAGTCAGGAATGACAATCTATAGACTGAAAACAATCACGAAAGTCGCTACACTTATCAATCACACAAACGTCATCTAAGCTTACGTTGAGTTTGGACCTGGTTGAATTATTGATAATTACTTTCTAATGTCCGGAAAATGGTTATCAAAGTTAAGTAGGTTTAAAATAAATATATAAGTTCTACTGTTCAAAATATTCAAGATGAAATATTGCTTAAATTATTAATATGATAGGGGAAAAATAAATAAAAATTATACCAACGTACAAATAGGAGTAAATAGTAGAAAACAAAATAAACCCCTAAGAATTTGGATCTTCCGCCATAAGGAAGGGACAAGGAGTTTTGATTATGTTGCAGAATGAACTAAGATTGAATAGATTATCTCGATTTATTGCTGTGTGATATTAAATAAAAATAAATATGTTTCGCTTAATATAACTTACATTAAGTCGAATGCATTAGGGGTTTTTTTCAATCCCTTTCTCGCCTTTTAGACTATATTGGGATTTTCTCGGGTCAAGGGAGAGGGCGGGGAATTAATGAAAGAGTTAAAAGCTTTCCTCGGAAACCTGACACAAACTCGTATTTATTTTATCATTAACAGTGTCTGTTTTACACACTTGACGAGTTTACACATTACACGCCCGTCCACTCCACACTTTGGAATATGATAATTTTTTTTTATCACCTCTTCGTAACTCGAACTCGTACTTATTTTATATCTTTCACTAGCAAACTTATGTTTATCATGTGGTCGGTCACCAGGCAACGTGTGTTATGCATACGCGTTAAACCTCACCCATCTCCTGCATTAGGGAAGATGATATTTATTAATTTTTTTGTCCACCTCTCCCTCTCCTTTTAGGCTTTAGGGTATTTTCCAGGGCCAGGGGATGGATTAATGCCAGAGTTAAAAGACCCTCCTACATCGAAACGCGAACTCGTAACTATTTTTTTGTATATAACTTCAATTATGAGGTTGTCGGACAACGCATGGTGCTGTGTACACATGCATTAGTCCGCTCGGCCACTCCATCCCCGATTGGAACATGATACCTATCTAATATAAGAATTCTCAATATGTGTACTAGTTCTTCATAAAGGAAGTGAGGTCATTCTATAATTGAATTTTTATCTCTCAAATTATAAACAGTAACACATAATGATATTTATAAACAAGAAATTTTTTTTTGGCTGTTTTTCTGTGGTTATCTTTCACGGAGAATAAACTCATCGCGTTATATATCGAGAAGGATTTATTATACTCTCATTACTTAACCATGAGTAATGGTGTATGTCCGACGATTCTCAGTCATTTTTCGTGGTCTATATCACTGCTTGGATCTTGCTTCTTCATGCCAAAATTAACCCCATTTTCTTGA